AAAGTCTCATATATTATTATCATCATTCAGCAGTCACTGTCTGTTTAATGGGGCATTTTAGTGACTCCCTAGATAGCAGTCAATATCAGACTGACCAACAAAAACTAACCCCAACTCACTACCGTATATAGAGCTAAAGTAAGCAAATAACCTCCTTTTTTTCATTTGGTTTGTTAGCACTTTGTTGAGTACTTAGCAAGTATTAAAGGGGAAGTCCACCCTGAAATTAAGTTAGTTTTAATAGGAGTAGAAAAATGAGAGAAACAAGTCAGTGAAAGTTTGAGCAAATTCCGATTAAAAATAAGGAAGTTAGGATTTTTGAAGTTGTGATCAATCAAACACAAATTGGCAACTCTATGACGTATCATGCGAGCTCAACTTCCATTTGCTCAGTACTAAAAAAATCTAAAATTTTCATTTTCCCTCAAGAAAAATTTCAACCATACATGCACCCTAAATATAATAATTGCAAATATGTTTCTATACTCCCCCTGCAAGGAACAAATATATATTCCGTCATCAATAACGAAGAAAACATGATTTTATGGAATATTATGCACAAAGCAAATGAAGGAGAGCTCGTATAATAAGTCACAGAGTTGCCAATTTGTATTTGATTGATCACAACTTCAATAATTCATAACTTTCTTATTTTCATTCAGAATTTGCTCAAACTTTCACTCACCTGATTTTCTTATTATTCTGCCTCTATCGAAACAAACTTATTTTGGGGGTGGACTTTCCCTTTAAGGTTCGTGCAAGCTATAGGCTGAAATCACACAGAAATTAGACACTTCACACACAGCAAAAATGGAAGCATTTAATTAATAGTCATTTTATAATGTTTTATGTTTCAAACATATCATCTTCAAGACAATAAAGCCATCTGTTGAGAACCAGAAGAGATTTAACTCTGTGTGAATGTAATTAGTTAATGCCTTTGTGGCTCTAAACAGACATATTATAGGATATACAGCTAGACCCCAACTCACTACAGTATATAGAGCTAAAGTGATCAAATAACCTCCTTTTTTCATTTGGTTTGTTAGCACTTTGTTGAGTACTTAGCAACCGTTTTGTTTATTGTCTGCATGTACAAACATTTCTTTGGGCCTCATCAGGTACTGATAACTAGAATACATATTCCAGGGTCTTTTCTATAAATGCAAAAGCTTGCCTAATTTGTATTCATGCAGTATACGCATCCCTTACGTCTCTTTTATGAGCCTGATGAGGAAAAGAAGACATAAATTCAACTGCTTCAAGGATAGAATCCATATATACAATCCACAGGGTAGCAATTGTCAATGGAATGGCTTTACATTTCGCCAGACAAGTACACGGGACTCTATTTTTTTAAAGAGTTTACATCAACTTCTTCGATCATCAATCAAAGCATCATTTCTGGAAACTGAATCTCCAAGCACGGCATTATTAAACACTTCAAACAACACTTTCGCTAATAATTATCACGTTATCTTCTGTACTTGAAGGATTTATCATGCTCAATTTCTCTTTTCCTTTTACAAATATATTTAATTATTAATCCTGGCTTTTTATGATGAAGAAGTATTGGAATGTCATGTATGATGTTCATCATGACTAATAAGTCCTTTGGGAATCCAAATGTTATTATCCTTTGCTTCTGGGAAAACTGAAAAAGGCAATTTGATGGCAAATTTGACAAATAATGAGTAAGAGCAGAGCAGACGCCAGTCTCTCTCTCTCTCTCTCTCTCTCTCTCTCTTCCTTTCTCGTCTTGTTCTTCGGAAGATAAGGTGCCAATTTGGAGATGATATCAAGGGCGGATCGTGAGCCGCTATCTTGAGAACATATTTATTCTTCTCCTCTTGTATGCTGTAATCCTTGTAATGGACAAAGTGTAAACAATTTAGGATAAGTAGAGGCCGCTGAGCTACAGCCTAATTCCCACCAACCGACCGATCGTAAATAAACCATCGCTAAAAGTTCAATATCTCATTACAAATGCAAACTGTGTACCTACCTGTCTTTTACTTAAAGCCCAAATACATCTTTTGGTAATAATCAAAATATATTTTACAGAGCATATGTCAAAGTTGAATTGGGATTATAACAATCACAATTCTAAAGTGCTGTATTAAACATCACATTCCCCTGACAAAGGTTTGGAAGAGAGTGAAGAGAAAATAATCTAGATCCCTGTTCATGATCTTCATTATAAATCAACTATTTAGCTTCTAAATATCTTGTTTTGTTTATTATTTCTTTCTTTCTTCATTTATTTTTCAGTATTTCTTTTTATGGTAAAGATTCAAAGGAAATTGCTGTCTATAATTGTCTATACCTTTAAAAAGGGGATTTTATTATACCTTCTTTCACTTCATTCATTGTGTCAGTTTCCATTTCTCAATAAGTATAGATGTTGGGGTCACAATTATTATTATCATTATTATTACTACCATCATTACCATTTTTACTTCTTGTAATTATTATCATTATTTCCATTACTATTACTATCATTATTATTATCATTATCATTATTTTTATTATTATCTTTATTATTATTGTTATCCTTATCATTATCCTTATTGTCATCATCATTATCATTATCATTATCACTATCATTTTCAATATCATTATCATTATCAGCATTATTGCTAAATAACTAATGGTTCATTGAAATTCAGGCAGATCATAAAAACATAACAACTCCTGGATGTCCGGCTGGATACTTGATAATATCCATGGTCAATATCCATGATCAATATTGACTCGTTGGCTGGAAAGGTCAGTTTCCTTGGAGTATTTAGGTCAATTAATAGAATAAGCAAACCGGATTGATCCGGGAAGACTTTTCAAGTTTTCATGCTGAAATAGAAAGATTTCATATCCTTTAGGTTTTGATCACAGAATCACTGCTAATTTCCTTATTTGTGAGATTGTTATTAGATAGTCATTTAATAGAATACGCTAAAAAGAAAGATCTGGGAAGGCTTTTCAAGTTTTCATGCTGGAATAAAATATGATTTCATATCCTTTAAGTTTTAATCACAGAATCACTGCTATTTCCTTTTTGTGAGATTGTTATTAGATTGTCATTTAATAGAATACGCTAAAAAGAAAGATCTGGGAAGGCTTTTCAAGTTTTCATGCTGGAATAAAATATGATTTCATATCCTTTAAGTTTTAATCACAAAATCACTGCTATTTCCTTATTTGTGAGATTGTTATTGATACCAGTAGCCTATATGAAATCATATAATCAGCTTTTTAAATCGATGCTTCCAAGTTGTTTTCTTCTCTAAAAGATCAAATAAGGTCAAACTTGTAGATATATTTAATATATATGAATATATACAAAAAGAGAAAGAGGAGAGAGTGAGAAAGAAAGATGAGAGAGATAGAGAGAGATAGATAGATAGATAGATAGATAGAGAGAGAGGGGGAGAGAAAGGGGGGAGAGGGGAGAGAGAGAGGGGGAGAGAGAGGGGGAGAGGAGGGCGGCCAGTTATACAACATTTTGACCACCACTGTAGAGATTAATACTTGTTCTAGTATTCAAATTTGTAAATGGTATCACACAAGATTAACTAAATAACTGTAACCAAAGGTCTTCTTTTTACTAAACAATGTACTATTATCATTATTATTATCACACTGTCTGTTCCTTCTTTTGTCTTTCATTTTTCTTGCATTGCCACCAAGTTTACTAAAAATTAAAGATTATTTAAAAAAAAAACTTTGTGAATATTGCTATGTTAATTGTTGCATTCAAAGAAACACATTACTCATTGACATTGAAACATTACAATTCACAGACCCCTTGTAAATTTCAAGAAGAAACACAAGACTATTTTTGTCCAAAAAATTAGATGAATAATTAATATCTAGCTGGAATTCAAACCACCTCCGGCACCTAATGGATCTGTATTATACATGTACAACAAATTTCAGCCCATGTGTAGTGTCAATGCTAACTTTACTAAAGGAGCCTACAAGTGCATGCCTTTAAGTCTGAAAAAAAATCGGGGGGGGGGGGAGGGGTTTCCATCAGAAATATTGCGCCACGCAGTGAATCATCATGACTTTCATATTAACAATCGCATGTTTGACAATACCTTGGTTCTAGCTTCATTAATGATACAACAGCACATTCATTAATGATTAGCAAAGCATACATGCGCTTTTATTTTCTCATCCGGTCATTAACTGATGAAGGAAAAATCAATGCCTTTTAATAAACATTTGAGCAACCCTGTGGAGCATTACAGAAATCGTCACATGGATGTATAATATTACTTATCTTAATTAGGAGCTTTTACAATGGTGACTATTATCTACATGAGATTGGTCTACATTCATTTTCACAGGTGATAGTACCAGTAGTCATCAATAGAGGTTCTGATGTCATAAATTGCATAAGCAGGTCTCTGTTTACCAAAACCCCAGCGAGAAACAATCTGTTTGCGTCTTAATTATGCTTAATAGTATCCCTGATGAAAATCTGAGGAGCATATTAGCTGTAACAGTTGCTATGTCATAAATCATGAAGAAGGGTTCTTAGGCTAAAAAGGAACATCTTTGGTTGCATACCTATTTTTACAATGTCAAAAACGTATTGATAAAATTGACTATTTTGTTGCCAACTTTCAAGATTATCAATTTCCAGTTAACAACTAAAATATTCATACCCTTACCAAGTTTTGTCATTTTTTAAAGTACCAGTATGTGAAAAATTGATTTGTCCCGATTTATGTTCTTGAGAATGTAAGATGTTAAAGCTTTACATCTAAAAGTATTCAACAAAGACCATAATTCAACCAGTCCACCTATCATTCTTGAATTACGAAAAAAAACAAAAAACATCCAATTTACAAGGCGTATGAATGCTTCTGTTGTTAACTGTATATATTAAGAATATATTTTGCGTGCTGAAAATCAGAAGGACATCAACTCTGATTAAGTGAATAGACAACCTTTTAGCTCTTACAGACAATACTAAATGCAGAATGACTTACCTGGTGGTCCATCCAGGTATGCGGCTTTGACTGTCGAAAGAAAAGAAAAAGAAAAATGATAAAAGTATTAAGGTTTGTGCAAGTTATAGGCTGAAATCACACATAAATACACTTCACACACAGCAAAAAATTTGATAATCATTGATCAATAATCATTTTATTGATATATTACAAGCACTACTATCTTCAAGACAATGAAATCATCAATTGAGAGCCAGACGGGATTTAACTCTGTGTAAATGTTATGAGTTACTGCCCTTCTGGCTCCAAAAAGACATATTATAGAAAATACAGGGTTAATGTACAGTCAGACCTGCTTTAGAGACTACACCTTGATAGAAAAACTACCTGCCTATAAAGACCACATCTTTGGTTTCCTCTAGGCAAAGTTTTTCATTGAAACCTGTGTTGAAGGAACTAGTACATAACAACCACCTGTTCATAAAGATCAATTTTCTCGTCTCCATTGAGGGATCATTGTAGACAGGTTTCACTGTGTGTTGAATGGCATGATAGTACAAAATAATACAAGGAATGGATGCAGGTATAATGCCTTTCATCTCAATGATGTTCAGGTGATAATTACTCAGTTTCCTATACCAACCAAACTTTCTTAAATTCAATCCTAAACCAAACGCTATGTTGGAGCACCAGGGGCGTCACAACGCCATAAGAAGCCGCCATTATTATTTTACCTATAACCTATGACCCTAAATTTAAGTTAAACCCCATATTTTCTTTACAAAGTGAAACTTGGAGCAAAAATGTTCTGTCAATCCATTCCAAACCTGTCTATATTGTATTTTTGTTCCGTTTGCAATACCCTAAATAGAGTTAAAGACAATAACACAGCAACATTTTCTCTTCTATAGAACCAAACAAACATATTAAGCAACATCAGATGCGCTGCTTTAAAACAATTGTTGCTTATATCACAGCTTATGTAATATCATGCATGTGTAGATGTTGTTTTGAAAATGAAATATAGCATTCCCCAGTGTACTGCAAGATTACACATATATATCCGCCCTATCTCTTTTATGTCATCTTTCTTGTTCCCGTCGTCATCGAAGCCTGGATGGATGCAAGCACGATACCTTTCATCTGAATAATTGAACACTCAATCTACACAGGGGCCACACCGAGGAAACCTTTACATTATGAATGATAATGCATGTACACTGAACGGGGCACACTCTGGCTAATTGCATTACTGCTCTACGTACCCTCTCTCTCTCCCCTGCTTCCTCCCTCAATCTATATCTCTTTATTTATCTCTTATGTCTCTGTGATCATATGCAACTCTATCTCACTCTTCCTCTCCCTTTTCTCCAGCTCTACCTCTTCAACCTGTCTAATTTCCCCTAACTCTCTCCTTCTCTCTTTCTCTCTCTTTCTCTCTCTTTCTCTCTCTCTCTCTCTCTCTCTCTCTCTCTCTCTCTTTCTCTCTCTCTTTCTCTCTTAAAGCCAGATAGATAACAACCTTTCTATGTCCCCATCTTTGTATCACTCTCTTCCCTTATATTGTGTCCCTTTTCCTATAAACTCTCCATCTTCTGTTAGCTGTATATTAATATCTTGGTCAATACGTGTGTGCATAATAATAAAAAACTACTAAATATGCCTTTATTCTCTTTTTTAATTATGATGGCTGATGATTACGCCCCCTCTTTCTTCCTTCCTCCCCCTTCTTTCTCCCACCCCCCCCCCTTTTCTCGACCTCCTCCCTCCCTTTCTCCCTTACTCCTCCCTCCCTTCCTCCCTCTTCCCTCCTCCCCTCCCTTCCTCCCTCTTCCCTCCTCCCCTCCCCCTCCCTCCCTTTCACCCTTACTCCTCACTCTCCTTCCCTCGCCCCCCCCCTTCCTTCATGCACTCACCCACCCACCCACCCACCCACCCACCCTCCCTCCCTCCCTCCCTGTCTGTCTGTGTAACACACTTTCAATTTCATATTAACAGAATCACAATAGAATAGGAAAGTTAATAACCTTATTCTTAATCTCAACACTATCAGAATGTTTCCACAAATACTACTCATTATCTTTACAAATACAATGCTCAACAGACACACCCAGTTTTGCAAGGGGTAAATATAAATATATACACTCCATCTTCACAATCAACAAACCTCCTCTGGGATTCCTTCACAAGTTCAGCCTAACAAAGCTATCAATCAAAATCAATTCATAACTCGGCTTCCGGTATTCATGCCACCACAATGACTCACAATGACCAGGGAATAATTCTTCCGATCGTCCTTGATTAACAAATTTCATTTTACATACCCAGTGTTTTTATTTCCTCTCTCTCTCTCAAATTTGTATGCACGCTGTTCAAAATGTGATGGACGATCATGTCAGAAATGGGTAACAAATTGCCATTTGATACCACGAGAATGGCTCCCTTCTGACCTCTATGTTATGTATGATTCTCATCCATACCCGATCAGAGCAGTGCAGTCAAAAAGAATACCTAAATTTGTAAATGGCACACTCTATTGGAGAGAAATAGAAAAATGCATCTATGGGACTTGATGAAGGATGAATGGATGACTATCTGAGTCAATACATTTGCTTCAATGGAGAATAGTATAACCCTGAAAATGCCACAAAGTATACCAGGAATTACCTAAACAAAGATTTTAAGATCAGTGTTTTACCAGTATTTGTCTTCTCAATATTTATCTTGGTACAATCAGTTTTTGTTATATATCTTACTTTAAAATTTAAGAGCCTGATTTGAAATAAAAGAATACATTATTTTTGTCATTTAAAATAACAGGACTATAGGGCAATAAAGGCTGATTATTTTACTTCGCTGTGTAAGGTAATAACAGGACCATCAAAGATCAAAGATGAAAATACAACTTTATATCAATGGAAAGCTAAATGAACTTATAATACATATATATTTTTGAAATCCCTTTCAGCATTGCACAAAAGCAAACTAAATCTTAATTTTGAATTTTTCTCAAAATTACGGGTCAACAGGTCACAATGTCCATTCCATTTCCCTGGGTACAGTGATGACAGAACATGTGGACCGGATTGTCTCTTCTACATGTTTATAGCCGAGGTGATGAGCCATGCTTTATTAATGCAAAGTCATTGTGAATATCCCTACTCCACATAAGATGTCTTCAAGTTGATAGCTACTTTTTAGGTTGACAACTTCTGATTTGCAATGCTTTAGATTTGGAGTTTTCGGAGAGCTGTTACTCCTCTGACAGACACCAGTAATTGATATTATTGTAATCTATGGCTTAAAAGCTTTCTGTGGATATATTTCATTTTTCACCTCCAACAGGGTCTTTAAGAAGCCTATACATTTAACTCTGAACATACATATATTTGTTTTCAACAGAAATATGGCGCCATGCCGTAAATCATCATCGCTTTCATATTTACAATCGCATGTTTGCCAATACCATGGTACCATCTTGATTAATGATACAATAGCACATTCATTAATGATTAACAAAGCATACACGCACTTGTATTTGGCTTATTATAATGGGCTAGAAAACAGAACACTTTTGAAGATAATGGTTTTTAATTTTGACTCGACAAATTCATATCACCTTCTGTGTTAGATATATGTGTCTAGTATATTTTCAAGGCGGGAGACGACGTGTATCTTGCCTTTTACCCAAGGTTGGAGTGGGGTGTCTCTATCTTCTTGCAAGATACATCAGTGGGGTGTTTCACAAAGAATCGAGGTTGGACTTTATTATTATAATTATGGAGAGCCATTTGTAGCCTTAAAATAAAATAAATTCAAAAGTAAAAATTAAAGTATTTTAGACTTTAAAGATGAAGTTGAGTTCTGGTCATGCGATTGTATTGTGAAAGAAACGGTGTGGAACCGACCAGAAAAGGTTGATCATCTAGCATATTAGAATTTGTGTGTATTGCAAGGTTCTGGAATCATCAAAATGATAAGAAATATGGCCAAGTCTTGGTAAAGTTACAAACACTTGCACAGAAAGATGTATATGGGACTACACGAACACATGGCGTAAAAAGCCGGCCCCCCGATTTTTACGATGTTACATGCATATTTAGAATATGAAGGCATTTGAAGAGCCATGCTTTTCAGGGAACATGTCTTAACTGATTTTCTTCCACACTTGCATAATAAGAATGAGCAATGCTCACAAATTATTTTTCACCTCTTCCCAGAACTCAACCTTCTCTTTAAATAAATTTCACATCAAGAACATGAAATCTACCATTATGATAGAAAATATGAATGATTTAAATCAACATATTATGCCTTTTTAAATAACTTTTACAAAATATTTTCACAGATGCTAACAGCTTTCCATAATTGTTAAGTCCAACTTAGAGATGAGTTCAACTTAAGATCTTTGTGAAACAGCCCCCAGGAGTATGACCATTAGTCTCTTTCTGTTGTGTTTAATGGAAATGGCCTTGTTGCTGTCCCTGCCAGAGTAAATAAAATCATTTCTGTAAAGATCACTTAGGCTTATTGGATTGATAATGATTCCATCAAGTGCTCTCTGGTCACGATCTAGATCCAACATCTTCCAGAAGATTTTTTTTCCAGAGAATAGTTTTCTGGATGATTATATGTCATGTTTTCCAAAAGTTCATGATTCTAAAGAGATTCCTAGGTTCAAAGTTTATAACTCTCATGGTTCATTATTCAAATTTTCTAGAACGCAGGTTATTGTGTAAATCTCCCTTCATGGCGATTATCTCTAGCTCTGCACTTGCAGTACAAACAGATAAGTTCCAGTTGTTAAAAAGAAGAGACCGCATAATCAAGATATAAACAGTACAGGCACTGGAAAATAAAATTGCAATCAATTTTGTCAATTAAGACTGACAAAGAACAGTAAGTGGTTTAAATATAGAAAGAAGCTGTACACTTCAGGAGGATGAAAAGTGCAGAGACTAAAAATGAGCGTGCTACGAAGGAGAAAAGAGAAAGAGAAAAGACAAGATAAAAGCTAGTGTATTGAAAATGCAAACACACTGTAAGAGGTGTCATGGTTTATCATCAGACTGTGGATC